TTCCCGGAACTGAGGTTAATTAGAAGCCAACATGGCAGATGAGCACCCAGGATGGAGTTCCTTTGGCTTCTACTCTCCACCCCTCTAATGCGGCTCTTACAATCTCTCATGCTGTCCTCTTCCATGATCATCCTTGAGCCTTAGAGAGAGTGCTTGATATTGTCAAGCTTTAGCAGCAGTGCTTTGGCAATGGAAAATAGATCAGGCCTAGTGCAATTCCTGATGAGGGAGGTTCACAGGCTGTTGAAGCACCTCTAGTCTTCAGAATACCATGACTTCGGTTTTCTCAAGAGTAAAACAGCACGAGATATATAACATTAATAATTTGCACTCAAGGATTACAGTCAAAAGAGAATTTGTATCCCGGAACAACAACAAAAAAGTACCTATTCCATTAAAGAGCCAACTAAAAGTATCATGAAGAAAATTAAAACCCAGTTCCTCCTTAGACTTGCAGACAGAAAATAATTTGGGATTTAGCCCAAATTATAGGTAAATTATAAAAACTCAAAAACAATGGTGAGGGCTAGTATCCAAATTTTTTGGTCTCTAGTTTCCCCATTTCTGCCAAGGATAAATCATAATAGGACCAATTTATTTTCAAAATAAATTTTGGTCTCATTATACTTGGCCTGGTTATTTGCATAAAATATGGCAAGAATAGTGATCAACCTGATCTGATCTGCTTTTTTTTTTTTTTTCTGTTTTCAGACAGAGTCTCACTCTGTCACCTAGGCAGTAGCACAATCTTGGCTTACTGCAGCCTTGACCTCCTGAGCTCAAACAATCCTTCCATCTCAGCCCCCCAAGTAACTGGGACCACAGGTGTGTGCCACCACTCTGGTTAATTTTTTATTTTTTGTAGAGACAGAGTCTCAATATGTTATTCAGACTGGTAGGCTCTTTTTAAGTTGGCTTTGCTGGAACTTTTATGAGAAATTGTGGATTCTGCTTTTTAAAAGCCTCAAGGCTAGGAGGCAAGCCAAGGATTCACCATCAGACTGTGCTTATAATACCTATACAAATTCCTCTCTTCTTGAGGCCCCAAAATAACGTAAGGTTCCCAGGCCTGTTAGTAAATGACATTCTTTACTTACCACAGGTCAGGAACCTTGTAAGAGAATCATTTAGACAAGGTACTCAGCCAGTCTTTCCTAGAAAGACTATATAAAGTCAACCTCCATTCTTCAGTCTGGTCAATTCTGAAAATATGCCATTCCGGTCAATGCCTTGGTAAAATAACCGGTGCCTCCAATTATGCCCTGTTAGAGAAGAAAACAGATTCCTACTGAACTTATGCAAATAACTCTATTGCTATCAGATAAAAATACTCATAAATGGTTTCTAAATTTAGGGTAACTCAGGTAGAGAGAAGGGTAAATTTTGCTCACAAAATTGTACTTTACCCAACCTCTAAGCTATAAACAGCTCAAAAGAAAAAGAATTTCCTTGACTCTTCATCAATCAGAGTGGCAGCCTTCCAAGCAGGATTATGTACATTCACCTTGGAACTGCCATCCACAAGCCCTGCAGCTCTTGGTCCGTTAGGTGAGAGCTGCCTGTTGGGCACCATAGAATCCAGCAGCTCCTCATGCAGTTCCAGAGTCAGTCGAACAAAAGCCATATCTGTGTCTCTGGTGGCAGTGAGACGAGGTGGTGGATCCCCACCTGTTGTTCTAATTTAAGGCAACACATTTGCAATGACAACAGATATTTCCAAATAATGTGCAAACAGGTCATAAAAAGAACTAATGAAGACTGGCTGTGGTGGCTCATGCCTGTAATCCCATCACTTTGGAAGGCCGAGGTGGGTGGATCACCTAAGGCCAGGTGATCTCTAATAATAATAAAAAAAATCTCTGCTTAAAAAAATACGAAATTAACTGGGTGTGGTGGCGTATCTGTAATCTCAGCTGCTCAGGAGGCTGAGGCAGGAGAATCGCTTGAACCCAGAAGGCGGAGGTTGCAGTGAGCCGAGATTGCACCATTGTACTCCAGCCTGGGCAGCAAAAGCAAAACTCCATCTCAAAAAAAAAAAAAGTTAAAAAAAAGAACTAATGAGAAGATAATTTTTTGTAGGAAAGAACTGCTGTGGTCAGTGATATTGGAGGATATGAAGATGTAAAGATAATTTTGTTCTTTCTCAATCTCTCTCACTCAATCTTTCATTTCACTTTTGTCTTTCAATTGCTCTTTCTTTTTTCTCTTTTCTGATAACTTTTGTTTTTCAAAATTTTGAGAAGAGGAATTATGCAGGTACTCAGTATTTGTTGTTTGAAAGCACATTATAAAAGAAAAGTGGGAAAAACAAATCCGTAAGTTACTTCAGAGAGACACTTAAAATCTAATGTCAGAGGAAAGAAGAAAGCAAAAGGACAGAAAAGATGTGATAAATTAACCAGTTATAGCAATAATAATATTATATTAGACTCAGACAAACTGCATCAATAATGATAAAGAGGATAAGGACATAAGGGTAGATTGAACAATTCACCGGGAGGTTATAATAATGCTGAACCTCAATGTGCCAAACAACAAAGCCTGACAGGCAGTGCCATGTCAAAGCCAGACTGCTTGGGCTTGAAACCGAACTCCAGCACTGACTAGCTGTAGACCTTAGGCAAGTTATTAAATCTCTGTTTCAGTTTGCTCATATTGAAAATTAGGATTTTAATAATGCCTACGTCTTCCAGTTGCTTGGGGATCAAATGAACTAGCACAGTATTCACAACAGTGTCCAGCATCACAAACATTGGTGTTATTATTGTTGCTGTTGTTGATATTAGTATTGTTGCCCCAAAACAGATAAAGAAAAAATAGAATTCCAAGGAAAAATAGACATGTCAACAGTCTTAGTAGAAGACTTTTAACTTTATTTATCTCTCACTAAGATAAATATAAGTTTGGAAATGTTTAAGATAGCTGCAACAAAATGTTTGAACAGGATGTTTTAGCTTTAAAGTCATTACAAAAAAGTAAATAGAACATAGTGTACATAACAAAACTACAAAATACAAAGAAAAAAGTGAATAGAAAACAACAACTGGAGACCAAAAAATAAGATGACAGAAGTTAAATGAGGCCATAAATGTAAATGACTTAATGTATTAAAATACAACCATCTTAGGCCATAGTAAAATACAAAATTTAATTTTATACATACAAGAAACACTTGTAAAAGTGTGACAATAAGCTAAAAGAATTAGCAAAACATACCAAAATGTTTTAAAAATATAGTATAGGTGACATTTTTATTATGAAATTAGTATACAAGGTAAAATTATCCATGACAACGTTGGGCCTTTAGGACCTAAGAAAAAAATAATTATTTCAAATTGTACAAAATAATGTTTTAAAGCATTTCCAAATGCACATAAATCTCTGAGAAAAATATACATTCCATAAACGTATGCTGAATAAAGTAAATTTTATAAATATAAAAGGAAAATAAAGTAAAACTGATGTCTGTATAAACCTACATTAGGGATTTGTTTTCTATGCTCCAGTTCCAACAGAGGATCTGGACATCGCCTCTTGCCTGCTTACTTCCTTGCCCTTCCTGCTTGGGGACCTGTAGGAAATTTGATTCACCCCAACCCACAGTAAACACTCAGGAACATGACGGGTTCGTTACCAGTTATCCACATCCAGGGGTAGGCAGGCATGTGGCGTGAAACTCTAGAATGCTGAGAGAGAGCTGGAAGGTACAAAAATCTCCCGCTAAGTGGTATTACAATTTTTGGTTACAAAATCGGAATATCTCTTTTTATCCCATAAATATATATTAATATATATATAATGTATGGAATATATATAGGGAATAAATATATGTATAATTTGTCTCTACATAGGGAATATATATACATGTAATTTATCAATGAAAAAAATTGTTAATCTCCTACTAATGTAAAAGGGAGTTTCTCAAAGTTCTCGAAGGGCTCCTCACTGGATTAGAAGGTGGTAACTAGAAGCTGGGTGCATTCATAAGGATTTAAAAACCAAGGAAATTACCACCTCTTGCTGGGAAGGCCCCATCCCTTGCTCTGCGTACATGTGTTACACCTGCAGTCTGAGTCTGTGGGCTCCGTTCCATGTACACTCTCACCTTCAGCTCTGACGCCTTGCTGGCAGTAGCTCAGGCCACAGGTACCCTAGACAGTGGAGGACTCGAGCAAGACTGAATCTTCTGCAGGTAGATGACTCCCAACTCACGATCTCTTTTCTCAACCCCAGAATTTTAGTTCCCAGTCCCTGGTGCTGCTGGATGCTATTGCCAAGGTCCGGTCAGGGGAACATGGAGGGACTCTGAGGGTGATGGATGGAGATGTGGGAAAGAGATTTGTCTCTGCTCCCAGAAAAAGCAGGCGAAGGGAGGTTGGGACATTTTAACTTTGAGGTGACAGTGGTCCCAGGTTCAGCCCACTCTTTGTCCTTTCCATTTCTTCCTGATGGCCTGAATGTTCTACTTGTCATCCAGGCTCCAGTGAACAAGCCAGGAATCAGGTTTGACCTCTCACTCTCCTGTTTGCCCCAAAGAAGGCATGCCTCCCAGGAACGTATGAACATGCACTTCTGTAGCTTTCTTCTTAGAACCTTGGGCACCAATCTTTTCAGCTGTTTTTATTTCTTTCATTTTATTTTTATGTGGATCTTTTCAGCAAACATTCTAGAGGCTTCTTGAATCCTGTTCAATATCACACTTGAGCCAAATGGTAACAAATTAACAAAAAGGCAGCAAATTGTTAATATGCTCTCAATATGTATTATATGTGGATGGGAGATTTGACCATTAAGATTTAAAGTTCCATGACTTTAACCTCATTGCTAATTGATTCAGGACACCAAGACATACTTCAGGTCGTTGGGTGGATGGGTTAAGAAAGTCTTCCTGAAGTTCTAAGAGCGTGCCCCTCAGGAGTGGGTGACAGCTACACAGCTCGTCTGCCTTGCTCTGCCCGAATGCTGTTTTCACATGGCGTTTCTTCTCTCTCTACTTTCAGGTAGAAATTGAGAAGCTGGATTACCATCATTATCTGCCTCTGTTTTTTGATGGGCTTTGTGAAATGACATTTCCCTATGAGTTTTTTGCTCGGCAAGGAATCCACGACATGCTGGAACACGGTGGGAACAAGATCCTACCTGTCCTTCCACAGCTCATTATCCCGATAAAAAGTAAGTGAACAGGTGAAAAAGCATCACTCAGTTTATACGGTGTTGCTTTTTGACAACTTGCTAATTAAGCAATAAAACACAACAGACTGAGGTGGTCCCCAGGTTTTGCAGGAATTTTCATAAATTGACTTAGGAGGCCAGACAACCCAAATCTCCAAAAATATATACCATCATCAGTATTTCACTATGGCTTAGCCACATAAAAAACCAAATTCCATGGGGCTTGTGCTAATTTACAATGTCTCATAGTGATGACATAAGCATTAACTTACGCATCCAGAGGTCTTTACCCGCTGCTGCTAACTGCCAAGTCTTTTTTTTTCTAAGCGGCATCTCTAATTTTTAAATTATAAACACAGTTATGTTGAGTACATTTGAGGTAGTCGGATTCATAATTTTAAGGAAGGGAAGCCCAGCTGCAAAGGTGAAAAGAAGCATGTTTTTAAATACCTGAAACTTTTAATCTATAATAGGTAAGGTGGTGACTCTGTGGTAGCCCTGTGATTGGCTTTGTCTGTCTGTGAAATGAGATTGTCCTTCCTTTCTGCAGGCACCTTACTCACATAGTTGCATGGCCCCTTGGACTAGTTGTCTAAAGCACCTGAGGTTGTCCCAGGAGACAGCCTTCCAGGGCTCCAGAACACTCTGTGTCCATTCTTACCTTGCTGCCAATAGAGCTACTCTGATGGGCATGCCTGGCATCCACTGGTACAGGCTCAGGAAGAGGATGGCCTCTCCTCAAGTCAAGGTGGCAGGCCTGACCCCTCTAACACTCACCAGCACACCCCCTCCCCAACCCCAGAATTGCCCACCTGTCCCGCATTGCTACTGCTGCTATTGCTACTACTAATTAAAAGTAGACAATAAGTGCCTCCTCTGAACACTCATCCTGCAGGTGAGGGAGACCCTACCTTTTTCTCAGTCAGAGCTGCTCCAGGCACTTTTACCCCCTGGATCCAGGCCCAACTGCCCATGGCTTCGAGAGATGAGGGGCCCCTGCTCCCCCCACCCCAAGTTTCACCTCATCTTCCACTCCAGGATGGACAGCTTCCCAAAATGATTGACAGGACGCGTAGCTAGTCTTCTAGGTTGGGGAACCCCACCCCACCCCCACCGGCTCAGGTGAGCTCTTCCCACGTGGTTTCATCAGAACAAGAACGAACTAGCTCAACATAGGGTCATCTCCCAGAGTCTGGATTATTTAATCTTATCCATGGTCACCTGCCATTCATTCGAATGTATCATGATCAAAATGCTAGCTTTCCACAGTTCTGCTCTTACTGCTTGCATCAATCAACTCTGAAATTCTCCCTCAGATCTTTGAGGTCTCCATAGAGATCTGTAACTGACCACACCACATTTCCACCAAGACAGACAGAGTGAAACCAAACCAAAGGACGGTGCTACCTGATGTGAAAGTAACACGGAGAGAAAAGAGACCCTGAAAAGGAACTTATTAAATATCAGCTTGCTTCCCTCATCCACAGCTACAGGAAGGGAGGCTCTTTAAAGGCTGTCAGGGAGGGTGTTGTGTCCTGAGCCACATTAAAACCTTTTCCAAAAGTAGTTTCTTCTCTCAGATGGGTCACATTTTTGAGTACATTAAATTCCACTTGAACTGCTACATTTCTAAAGGATGGTATGTAGTTTTCTCTGATAAACAAGAAAGGCCCAGAATATTCTCCACAGGAACTGTGTGTTCTTTTCCTCTGGCAGAATAGCAGCAATATTCGGACGTATATTCTTTTTTTTTTCTTTATTTAATCAATGCTTCATGTTGGGATCACTGCCTTCTCGGGGTCTCTCCCTCAGAGCCCACTGGAAGACACTGACAGGCAGAAAAGGAATTGCTGAGTAATATTTTGATTATGCTGTCTGCAATTAAAGCAAACCCCACTGGAGTTTTGCAGGCCAAGGTGAAGTGATTTTCAACTCTGTTTGATCTGTATTTTGAAGATACATAAATGAGTTAAGAGAGGAGTGAGGTGACTAAATTTACAGTACACACATGCTAGAGGTCATCTGCTGAGAAGTGAAAACGTTATCAAGAGCTCAGTAAACACGATTTGTCAGGAAAAATTAACTAGATATGAATTTGATGATTTAGGGTTCTGGAAGCAATGACAATTTATCTTGGTTGATGCCACTGTGTGGCTTTCAGTGCTTCTGCTACTCGATACCGATCCTGAGTCTAACTGCTCCTTCCTTCTCAATCTGTTTATGTCACTAAAAGCCAGACTTTTCTCAGGAAGAAATGCTGATTTCTTATGTAAGGTCATGCACAGTTCCAGCACAGTGTGAAAAATAATATGTGCATAAAAAAAATCTTTCAGGGGGAATTCCAGAAGCAGGCTAGTGGATCTAGAAATGGGCTGATGTACATAATTGACATAACATATAACATCTCTGTGTATTTTATCTTCACACCATACCCAGTATAATTTTGACTCTATCCAGGGGCAAAAATTAACCTCACCATTACCAGCAAGCAGACTAGAAGTTTTTGTTTTTTGTTTTTTGTTTTTAATTCTAACTAATATCTATGAAAACAAAGCAAATGTATAAACTTACTGTGAAGCAGTGAGCTAGGATTTGCTGCCCTTGTATTTCTGGAACCTGGGTTGATTTCAACAAATTAGAAGACTGATAATACTGAAATGAGAAACTGACACATATAGTGGCTCTGGGCTTTCTAATACGATAACAAACAAGAATTCACCATTTTTTTCTCCTACTGCTGCTTGGTTCAAACCCCCAAGTTCTGGAATAACCCACACGGTGGGTCTCGGATACCTGTTTCACTGATGTTGTTTTCTGGTACAACTACTGCTGCTCCCTTGTCCCTCCCACCTTTCTGATTTCATCTTGAGTTAGTTGGGGTCAGAAACTCCAAAATCATACTGACATAAAGTACTCAGGGTTGATGATGGAGCATTGATTGCTGGGAGCAGCAGCAAAACCTCGTAGGGGAGGATGAGAAAACAGCAGCCCTCTTACTTGTCTGGATCGGGGATTGCAGATTCACATTTACCCCATCCGGTAAAGAAAAGATAAATCCTTCTCAATCCGTCAGAGCTATACCAGGAGGCAGTGCCTGGAATCTCCACATATGAAATTCAGAAGGGGATTCTTCCAAAATAGCGGTCAAGAGGACAGAAAGGGGCCAAGAGCAACCGGCAAACTCTGTCTGAGAATCTCTCTCTTCAATAAAAGCGAGAACATTATCAACGCTGCAGCCCCAGGGGGCCATGGGAAAAATCTCTACACACAGGGAAGCAAGTATCGTGCACAATCAGAGGAAAAGAATACCTCAACAGCATTTGGCATAAGAACCAGAAGAAACTTGTAAAAACTTGTTCAACATCCTCAGGATTCAGAAAGACGTGGCCTCTGAGAAACAGAAGCAGAAATCCAGAAGAGGAGATTAGACTCAAATAAATAGAAGTCCATTTTGAACAGGACAAGGCAAACTGAAAATGCTGTAGTCGAACTAAAATCTCCATAGAAGTATAGAGAATAATCAACTGCACAAGATCAATTATAAATGCAACCTCAAGGAGCTCTCTCAGAAAAGACAAGTGTATAAAAATAAGGCCAGAAAAGATATTAAATTGGAGGACATAGGACGCAAAAGAGTTAAAAGTTATGTGTTCCCAAGAGGAACTATCAGAGCAACAGCAACAGCAACCATAATGGCAGAGGTGATTCAAAGGATGTTCTGGGAGGGAAAATTATCTCTCATTATGTGGGTAGAAAATACTCGTGGCAATCTAAAGAGCATCAATGAAAACAGACTCAGGTGGACGCACAATTTGTTGAAAAGTTTAAATTATAACATAAAGAAAAATCCTTCAAACGTCTGGAAAGGGGAAAAAGCTATACACCAAGAAATAATACTAACTGAGGCTAAGATTTTTTGCAAGAGTAAATTCCAGACAACAGAGCACTTTTTAGAGAATTGGGGGAGAAACATCTTGGGCATGATTTTACCCCGGTCATGTGAATAAAAACACTATGGATGCAATGACTGCAGTACCCCTCTGTCCTTCATCCAGAAGGTGACTGGGGATGTGCTCCAGCTCACAGCAAGTAAAGCACAGTGAGAGTCCCCAAGTGAGGACAGTGTAGTGTGAAAAGCAGTCAGCTCTAAACCTAGAGTTACGTCTAAATAGTGGATGGAAAAGAGTTTCAAAGCCACATGAAGTGTTGAATCATAATTTTGCAGTAATGACTCTTTAAACTTCTAGGAAAACTGGAGTCTAAACCCTCAAAGTCAATGCAGAAGATAGAGGTAGTTAAACAGAGTCTGTCTATCAAAAGGACAAAAGCTGAGTAGACAGCAAGGAAGGGCTAAGAACCAAAAGCACAAAATAGGATGAAGAATGTAACATCCAATAATAGATTAGCTATGAAAATTATCTTTAAAACTGAAAAAACAAAATCCGTACGTAAATGCTCTAAAACACAAAATAATACTTAAATGTGTTCAAAGATATATTGGAATAAATAAAAAAGAGGGCAGTAGTGATTTTAATTTTAGAAGAGTAAAATTCAATGTAAAGAGTTTTCAAGTGTATAAAGGGGATCAATTTATAATGATTAAAATATTCACAATAAAAATTTAATAGTCATGGCCCTCTGTGTACTGCAAACTATGACATCACATTTGAGAAAGAATCAGCTGCTGCTACTCATCGTTTTCACCCCTGGAAGGAAGGTAGACTTCTTAACTGAGAGCTAAAAAGACCTGTCCCTCCACTGCCTGACCTTTGACTTTAAGATCTAGGGTCTTTACCAACCCCAAGTGAACAGCCTGCCCTCTAAAGCACTGCTTCCAAGCCTTCAGTGTGCATCTGCGGACCTTGTAAAATGCAGGCTCCAGATCAGTAGATACGAACGGACCTGAGATGCTGCATTTCTAACGAGCCCATGGTCGATGCTGATGCACTGGGCTGAAGCAAGGCCTGCCAGGGCACAGAGGATGCTTGGATGCCCCAGGC